AAGGATGATGATTTAACATAATGTTTTTGACTTATGTTTATAGTTGGTGATATTGCTATTAGTAGGTCCTCAAAGTACTTTCTTTGTAAAGAATTATGTTCTTTTTAATTAGTATAGCATTAGTAAAATCAACATTACTTTTCTATCCATGAATATATGATGAGGGGTTCTTGGTTCTTGGTTCAATGACCAAACAGAAAATACTGATTTTGGGAAATGGACCAGGCAAAGAATTTTCAGCACTCTTAGATATTTCAAAGGCCTTTGACAAGGTGTAGCATTGGAGGTTGCTACAGAAATTCTCCAGCTCTGGAATCTCTTGAAGTGTCTTCTCAATTGTCAAGTCGTAACTATCAGGTAAGTCTATAAAAGTAATCATTAATGGTCAGTCCTCTGAAGCACATGAGATCAATGCTAGCAACCCACAAGGCTCTCTCCTCATCCCTACACTCTTTCTGCTTTGTATTCATGATCTGCCCAAGAACTTTATCCCAACATTATCAGATCTTTAGTCATCATGAACTTTCCTCTATGGTACCTAGACTTCATGAATTTAAGTGCAGTACTAGATTGGTGGAAAGCTTTCATCTTTTTACATTTGAAATGGCTAGATGTAACCATATGCTAACAATTTTTTCTGTTGTACTTCTTGCTTGTACAAATCTCTTCTGGCTTCTTGCTTCCCAGTCAACTTTGATCTTCAAAAATATAAATTCAATGATAACCATCATCTTCTGTCTTCTTAATTCCAGTTCTTTTATTGTTCTATCTTCTATATAGTAGTTTTTCTTATATTCTCTAACATGCAGTAACCTAGAAATGCGTCCTAGTGGCTTACCTTGCTTGGGATGAAATGATTAAAAAAAGGAAAAAGATATATATAATAATGGGGCAAAGCAAATATGTTGGATTATAAAAATGACACAGAGTGCCAAATAGACTAAATATTACATAACTGATATACAAGAGTTCAACACATTATCTAAGATTTTGCTATTCTGTACAGGTATCTGATACCTCTTTTGCTGATAGTGAACACTCATAATGTCTGCATTTGAGATGAGACAGTGAGCTCATGCATGTTCTATTCATGGTAATGACCATCTCAGGGATGTAATATTCAAATCTTAGATTATATGTTAAACTCTTGTATATCAATTTTGTAATAAATATATTTGGTACTTTATGTCATTTTTATAATCCAAGAGTCTTGCATTTAAAATGTGTATCATCGTCATGGAATACCCTTTATATGGTAGACTATAGATGATCAGTGTATGGCAGTTGACCTAACTTTCAGCTGATGTAACACTCTCAGGTCAGAGGGGAAAGACTGGCTTTTAAAACAAATCTATTAATATTTCATCACTACTGAGCAGACCCTAAATTTACCCCGGTCTTGGTGAATGGGTATATTCTTAATGATGCTCCATGCCTCAAATATCTATTGGGATGAAACCACAAATAAAACTAATATATTCATACCATCATGAAAGATAGAAAACAGTCAGTTCCTTGTATTGCAACAGAAATATTAACTGATAGGACAAGTATCTGTGTTGCCTCGAACAAGAGATAAAACATGTATATGCAAACAATTCTCATTGTGGGAAGAATGGTTTGTATAATTCTATACGTCCAAAGTAAACCTAGTAACATTTCATCACCAGTGAACAGACCCTAAATTTACTCCAATCCTGATGAGTGTTTGTATTTTCGATAAGGCCCCTCAACTTAAACATATATTGAGACTAAGACTCACTCCAGACCTCAAGTAGAAATCATATAATGATATCACCACTAAAATGCTGGAAGAATGGTCAGTACCTTGTACCACTCCAGCAAGTACCCAACTCCTGCTGCTGCTGTACAAGAATCAGATCAGACCAAGGAGCATTGCTGCCATATCCAGGCTGGTGCAGCTCAGTGCTAATTATCCAACCTGTTCAAAAGTGGATTGGCCATCTTGTGAATGATGAATAATTAACCATCCTGCAACCCCTTTTCCCACAGACAAAACATTGGTAGCCTCTTGCTAGTCTATTGCTATTTCCATGGCAAATGTTCAGACAAGCTATATTCCTTAGTACCAGCAGTCTAGACCTTCACAGCTATGACCCACCATACCATGGTCAACTCATTCATATTACCTTTGTATTCATTTAGTAAGGACTAAGTTCTACTGAGACAGCTTCTTCCCAAGAATTGTCACTTTATGGTTGTTGTAATCTAGAAAGGGTTACCAAATGAGAAATAAACAAAACAGAGGTTGGAAAAGAAATGGTAATCTTTATAATATCAACAAAATACAATACTCGCCAGCAGCGTGAAGTAGGTAAACCACTGCTAGTGTTGGACTACTTAGACAGCATATTACCACCACTTACTATAGTGTCCAATGTATTTATGAGGATTGGGACATACCCATTAGTGTTCATAGGCATGATAGATTAATTATTTATTACAAAAATTTAAAACCTCTAACCTTATAGTTAAAAATAATAATTCACCTCTTAGAACAAAATTAAATAGGCCAAATATTATTTACAAATTTAAATGCCCATTAAGGAATTGTATTCCTGATCAATCAAAATTTGTAAATAATTATACAGGACATACTACATGTTTGACACACAGACTCACTCTACACCTTTCTGACCATAGCTCAATTAGATCTCATTTAAATATTCATGGAGACCTACCAGACACTAATCGTAACATACTTGTTGACAATACAAATATAATAGCATCATCTACATGAAAAATAGGCTAAAAATAATGGAAGCCTTATTAATAAAACAAAAAAAACAACACTTAATAATATCAACTATGAACATGGATACAATATCTTGACTGTGTTTTCAAAAATGAAAACATTATATAAACACATATATGCAACAAACTATTTCTTATTAAACAGTTAAGATATTTCATCCTTGAAAATGGCCAAATATATAGCTGAAAGCGCTTGGAATGAAAGAACATTCAGACAGTGTTTATATAATTTATCATCTGAAAAGAAAAAATTATTAGATCGTATGAAAAATTGTATAAAAAACTAAATTAAAGCACTTTGTCTATCATATTCAATGAAATGTGCATAAAAGAAGGATTGCTACCTAAATATATATATGTGTGTGTGTGTGTGTAAAGTAATGAAATATGTTAAAACATATATATACATATACATAAAAAATTGGATAGAGTATATCTGTAAAAGGACAATATGAATTTCTCTAAAAAAACTTCCTCATTGCTCAAATATTGTATTTTCAGCACCCATCTGTAGAACCACATCTCTGTTTTTTCAAGTTTCTTTTTCATCTTAAACTTGAGCATTCAGTGTTCAACCTAAAACAATAAATTCAGAAACTATAAACTTTGTCTGGAGGAGTGTCGTAACCTAGAAAAGGTTACTAAATAAGAAATAACCAAAACAGGGGTTGGAAATGAAATGGTAATCTTTATAACATCAACAAAATACAATACTCGCCAGCAGCATGATGTAAGTAAACTACTACTAGTGGTGGAATACTTAGATAGCATATTACTTCCATTTACAATAGTGTCCAATGTATTTATAATGATTGCAACATACTCATTAATGTTCATAGGTATGGTATATAACAATGGTACAGACACTGGAGAAGATTCTTCACTAATTACTATAATCTTAACCTATTCAAGTCTGGGTTATCCATTATCTATCATATATATCCTCAAAATATGAACTTTATACCCTTCCAACAACCTTATTCAACAACCCTCTAACTTGAGTGACTTTTGAGCCTTGTATTGGATGAACAATATTATAAAAAAAAAATATGTATTCTTGCTTATCAAATATTAGAAACTGGAAACTTGTATTCATGCCAAATATTAGTTATGGGGAAGTAGTTTAGAGGTAGAAAGCTTGCTGTAGATATTGGAATATTATGTATTTATATTGAGTTTGAATTCTAGCTGTTTCCCTTTATATAAATCCACTTGTCTTTAATCTTTGTTTCACTGACAAAAATCTTAAATCGTAGTCACAACTTTCTGTCCATTCTATCTTTAAGCAAGGCTAGACTCTATATTATCTCTCTTTGTTCTGCCATCCATTTAACTTCAAGTAGGTTACTTAAGATTTTCTATTTACCCATTTTGTCTTTAATAATTCCTTTGAGTGTCAAATCTGCCAAGCAATCTTTCTTTATGCCACAAATTTCAACTGTCTTATTTCAATTCTAAGTAAAAGTATCCTTTTAGTTTCATTTTTTATATTAAATCTTCCTTATTTACATTATTTGGACTGTTATCCTCATCTTCATTGCCATTATTCACAACATTTCAGCTGTTGTACATTCCAGCCGTTTTCAGGTGATTAGAATTTTGAACCAAACTGAACTGGATTCCTCCCTTTCCCAAGGGTATGAGTGGAAGATGAATATAAACAGTTTTATTCAAAATTAATTTGCTGGTTGCATTTTCCCTGTTTGTAACTGTGACATGAATGTCCAGGTGTGCATATGGGAGAAATATGAGTATATAATACACATACATACATACATACATACATACATACATACATACATATATCTCAGACAGCAGGTGTGCTTCTTTTTTAGAGTTCTTAAGCATATCTTCTCAATTCTCTGTTTATATCAAGAGAAATTATCTTAAAAAATAAAGCTATTGTGGCGTCTCACTTTAAATATACGTTCATATTTTTTCTAATTCTCTTAAATCTTTAAATTGAAAGGAAATCAGTTTTTTCTCGATTTCCATTTTGCTCTTCATATTCTTTCTGCTACTTTTTTTTTCTATTTTCACTATTTTTTTATTTTTTTCAATTTTCTTTTAATATTTTTTTCAATATCATTCCTGCTTATTTACTTCTAACAGATTTTTTTCCTTTCACTCTTTACTCATTTTGATTCCTTCTGTTCCTTTAATTTCATTCCTTTTTATTTTTCCTTCAATTTGATTCCTTTTCTTGTTTTATTTTCCTTTCTTTTATGCTTCTTCTTCTTATGCTTCTCTTTTCTTCTCTCAATTTGACTCTTTCTGTTCCTTTACTTTCATTCCTTTCAGGCTTCCATTATTTTCCTTCCTTTCATTCTTCCCTCATTTCCTTCCTTTCATTCTTCTCTGAATTTTATTCCTTCTATTCCCTTATTTTCCTTCCTTTCATTCTTCCTTCATTTTCCTTCCTTTCATTCTTCCCTCATTTTCCTTCCTTTCATTCTTCCCTCATTTTCCTTCCTTTCATTCTTCCCTCATTTTTCCTTCTTTCATCCTTCCTTATTTTTTCCTTCCTTTTCATTTTCTTCTTCCTTCATTTTTTCATTCTTCCCCATTTTCCTTCCTTTCATTCTTTATTTTTCCTTTTTCTTTTATTTTATTTCTATTCCCTTTTTTCTTCCTTTTTTCTTCTCTCAATTTGTTCCCTTATTTTCCTTTCTTTCATTCTTCCCTCATTTTCCTTCCTTTCATTCTTCCCTCATTTTCCTTCCTTTCATTCTTCCCTCAATTTGATTCCCACTGTTCTCTTATTTTCCTTTCTTTTATGTTTTCTCTCTTTTTTCTTCCTTTTTCTTTTCAATTTCTCTTCTTTCCCCCATTTCAATCTTCACTGAATTTCATTCCTTCTCTCCCTTTATTTTCCTTTCTTTTCTTTCTTCTCTTATTTCCCCATTTTGATTACATGTTTCCTCATTTTCCTTCATTTTATTCTTTTTACTTTCTTCTATCATTTTTATTTTCTCTCCTTTATATTATCCTCTGTTCTCTTTATTCTTTGTCTTCATCTTCTTCTTCACATTGGCCCATTTTCTGTCATCTCTGAGACATAAATCAATCAGTTAATCAATAATGCCTGACATAAGTAAACATCACAGTTGTGCACTAAATTCATTCAGAATAAAATGCCACAATACAAGGAGATTTTAGTTAATTAACAGTTCAGATTATTTGACATTTTTTTTCAAATTTTACTTTTCTATTTTCCCCCTTATTTAAAACAAATGAAGGTCAGTTAATGACACTGTCACTTAACACTTGTATTTTTATTTTTTCTACACTAGCAAATATTTAGCAAATAAGAATGTCCTTTTGTAACATTTAATTGATTATAATGAGAGATACAGTTAACTTCTGTCCTCAAAGCCAAGATTAAAAAGAAAGAAAAATAACAGATAAAAAATAAATGGAAAAAGCTAGATTTAAAAAAATGTTTCATTAAAAAGAAAAGAACAAAAGTCAATAAAAACTAAATTCAAAAAAGAATAAGATGAAAAACAAATGAAGATATTTCATGGAAGGGATGGAAAATTTTAATAGAAAGAAAGAAAAAACTTCAGCAATTTTAAGTTCAGTTAAATAAACAAAAGTAACTTTTTAAAAGTCAAAAGAATAAAAAATTTTTGCATATTACAATAAAGTGAATTTTCTGCAAAATTTTAGAATTTTATTATACTTATCAATATTTTCATAATAAAATAAGTATTCAGCAACAAATTTTAGTCAAATTTTCAGAATATATTTATATGAAAAATACAAGACTTCATAATATCTGTTTTTATTAGAAATATTTACAATAACTTATTTAATAATGTGTGATTTTATTATGCAACTTAAATGTCATTCGTCATATTGTAAATAAATCCACCTAATAGATATATTTATATTTTAAATTTCAAATATATAATAATTAAATGAAAAATATAAATTCAAAAGAGAAGTAAAATACCATAAAGTTATTAAATGATGAGAATACAATGCTAGAAAATCACAAAAAATTGACTGGAGATCAAAGAATAATCAAAAAAGGAATTCTAACATTGGCAAAACAAAAACTTGCTTTAAAAATGTCATGAGAAGAAATTCTAAAACAATTAATGAGCAAGAAAGATGTATTGGCAAGCAAAAAAATAACTGAAGAAGCCAATCTTGCAAATATTAACAAAGGGAAAAGATATAAAATATTAAAAACATTGATGCAGTACATGAAAGCTGATTTCTAAACAGTAAATTTTAGTGATGAATGAAGATCTATATTGGATGTACCAAAGAGCTGAACTTTGGACCTTCATGGGAATATTCAACCACCATGACTTAGAAGACAACAGTGTGGGAGAAAAAAATAATTTCTTGTGCTCATATTGCATGCAGTAAAATTGTACACTCTTTCAAATACAATGATTGCATCAAGATAAATGCAAAGAATTATTATAATTTCTTAGACTAGAACTTTTTGGGGAGGCATATGTCACAATCTAGAGAGATTAAGCTAAAGGTTATTTTAATGCCAAACAATCCTCCTTCACACTGCCAAAGAAAAAAAAATGGTTTCAAAGGTACCAAATTTTGGGAATGGGTTCCAGACTTACCAGATATTAATCCAATAGAAAAGTTGTTCCCCTATCAGCAGAAGTGATATATATGTGAATAGAAAATAATACTGAAGAAAAAAATTCTATGACACAATAAAAATTACTGCAAGTTGAAACAGAACTATTAAAATCAATGACTGCTGAAGATTACAGAATGTCAAGATCATATTAACATATAAAATGATAAAATAATAATTTGATATGGGATATTGCTTTAATCAAATATGTTTCTGTAAGCCTATGTATTTTGGATTGATTCATAAATATGTTACACATAGTTTGTTTGCATGATAAAATCTGACATTTGCATTCCTTATTTTGGCTATTGAGTCTGAGAGAAAATTTCTGGCGTCAGAGAGAAATAAATTAATAATCAAAGATTGCAATCACATGAGATACAGGTTTAAATTTTGTTGGTAATTACTTTTTTTTTTGTTTGCTTGAGCCATTAAAGTAGAAAATTAAAGGAAAAGGAGTAACGTAAGATGAAGTGAATAGTTAAAATGCTTAATCTAAAGAGATCACTCAAAAGCTTGGATACAATTAGTAATAAAATAAGAGTGAATTACTTTTATCTAAAAAGCAACAATAATGAGATGAATGAAAACTAGTAATTTAATATATAAAGGTCAACATTAGTCTGTGTGTTCATTTAAAATAACGCATTAAGTTGCTTGTGTCCATATGTGAATCTCAATCTATAAAAGGCAGGATGTGTGTGTGTGTGTGTGCGTGTGTGTGGGTAACGAATGCATGGCCACAATTTTTGATGAATTTGCACCAAAATTTACATGCACATGCTCCAAGTTAGCGGGAAGGCCAAGACTGACTTTGCATTTCCCAAATCCCATCGATAGTGGAAATAATCGATTTTTTCAAGCTTCTACGGCAGTTTTCATGTAGTTTGCGGACATTTTCTACTAGCCAGAGTGAGATCCAATAGCTGGTTGCCACGAATAGGCAGGAAGATGATATTGGCCAGTGTGAGAGCCAACAGCTGACTGACACGAATGTTAACTAGCATGCTAGTATGCAAAAAAAATCGATAGCTGCATTCGTCACAAGTGGGAAAATTGAAATCTGCATGGCATTTTACTCCAATTGGCTCATTCGCTTGCTTAAACTCAACATTGATTCTGATTCCGTAGAACTGGATTGGGTGTGAAAGAGTATTTGTTGTTAACATTCTTTTTTCATTCAGTTTTTCCAGTTACGAGTCCTTTTTTAAAGCTGATCATTTTGTGTTCATTTTGTATAGTTCTTTTTTCGTAACAGATTTAATGTTTAGTATAGAGCTAAAAAATTCGCAGTGTGAGATAGGCAAGAAGTAAGGCATGTAGCAACATCAGCACGGCAAAGGGCACTCCTTGAAAGGCGAGGAAGGGCAAAAATATTTTAAGTCGAGTGATAGCAATTGCTGTATGAGGTGTACGATTTTTGAATCAAGCACGGGCAACGCCGGGCCATGCTGCTAGTATTACATAAAACTGTGACATCAAATAAATGTCATTTTATCACCTATATCAGTGTATATTTTCCAAATTGTTCAACTTTTACAGTTTTTGCTTAATGGTAATGACTAAGTTGAATTTTTCTTTAAAATTTAAAAAACAAAAAAAAAGCAGCCTGTTTTGTTTTTTCCAATCTGGGCTTCTGTAGATAATTGAGTGTTTTGTTGATAGGTTTTGTAATTAGATTGCTGCTTCTTCTATATGCTTTTCATAACATTGGTGATCGTGACTTGCCACAATTTCCTGTCCTTTGTATTTTTGCTATCTCGACTAAACCTTGTTCTGCCAACCATTTTTTCAGCCTTTGTAGGTTATACATCATTTTCCTCTGTCTATCTTGCCTTCAATCTGTTCCATGAGTATCAAATTTTCCAAACCTTCTTTTCTCATTATGTGCCCTAGAAATTTTAATTATCTCTTTCTGATTTTAAGTATATCCTTTTTGTTTCAGTTTGCTCTAAAACTTTGTCATTGCTCACATGATCAGTCCCTGGTATTCTCAGCATCCTTCTGTAGAATTACATTTCTGTTGTTTTAAGTCTCTTCTCTATCAGTGAGGAGATTGTCTAGCATTCACTCTCATATAGTACATAACTGTTCACTTATTAAAATAAAGATATTTTCTGCTCTGAAAATGGTAGCATTTAAAGCACAGCTTGGAATTAAAGGGAGGGAAGCAATGTTAATATTCTTAACAGTATATTTTGAAAATCTAAGATATAATATTATAATATTATATGCTGAAGCTTCCACAATTATTAAAGTAACATCCATGGAAGACAATCTTTGGAGGCGTGGCATGTGTGTTCAAGTTTTATTAAATGCTACTTCTCTCTTTCTGATTTCATACTATTTTGCTCTTGCAGTGAAAGTGTATATCAACCCAATGTTTTGATAAAAATCAACAATGTTAACTTGTAATAAAAGAATAATAGGGAAAAGGATTCCTTTAAAAATTTGTTGTTTTTGATTAAATAAAGTATAAGTAGTGTTCATATATTTTGAAGAAAAAAAATCAAGAATTATTTTTTCATGTTATATTTGTTTTCGTGGAAACCAGCTCAATGTCTATCATTTCCAAAAGGCTTAAAAAATAAGAACATCAAAATTTTCAAATAGAAATTATCTGCAAAATCTACAAAATTTCATTATCTCCACTTTACTCAACAGCTTGATGTTCAAGCCCTTGAGCAAGTTTCTTCATCAACAATTATTGTGGATTAATAAACGAGAAAGACATTGTATCTTTAATTAATTTAAATTGTTAATGCATTTTTTAAATTTTACTTTCTTTTCATATTTTTTTTACTTCTTGTTGCTAATTTCCATAATAAGAACAAGTTGGCAACACCAATTCCTGTTTATCTAAAGTAAACAATATTGATTCTGATAAAGACAAAGAAAAAACAAGATCATAAAAATTAAAATAGAAATAGAAAAGCTAAATACATAAAGTGGGATGCATAATCAATATTTTATTCCCAAAAACTATTTTTTAATATTTCAATTTTTATTCAAATCATAGTTGGAATATTATAAAATTTTAAATAAAATTAATCACTGTGTATTTGGTTGATTAGTACGAAATTCTTCATTTTTATTATTTATATTTTTTCTCATTTCTAGAATGTTGCCAATTTGACAATATTCTAGAATGCAACAGAATTCTGAGGAAAGCCAGAGGGTATACAGTTGAATTGGGAAAAAAAAAAGAAATAAAAACTCAACCACATA